TAGAGCCACCATAAAACCGACTGCATTAGCCCCCGACGCCTGGTCCTTCCACCTGGGTGGGTGTAATGGAAGAACCAAACACCGGAAGGGAAGGAGCTAATGCAGGGCCGACACACCTAACATCGGCCCACCGAGCCAAATTAAGGAAACTTGGCAAACCGAAATCCAACCTCGGAGAGTCAGCCCCACAAGGACATGCCAATCGTCCTCGCTTGAAAATGCCGGCATCCCAACAACCAGCATTTCAGGGGCCAACAGACCGATGCCCAACACCGATTCCCACCGCCAACTCGAACTGCGTTAGCTCTGGCGTCCATTCTTGATGCTAGTGGGTGGGACACTAGCCGAACGAGGCGCCTAGGGAGAGATCACCTTTTTCTTACTCTAGGACTTAGCCCACAATGCATATTGCATCTCTTTCTTTGACTTGTATATGTATGAAGGCTAGTCCTCCTTGCTGTGCTACTACTTGGATAACTGGTTTTGAACTTTGTTTGGGTTACTGTGGATCTTGTGATTGGAGGCTCATATTTGGGTTCTAAACTTTGTTTGGGTTACTTTGTTTGAGCCTCCATCTTTGAGTATACTTAGTATGATTGTTTGCTGCCCATATCACTGACAGATGGGAGTTTGGATGAACAGATGGCTGTTTATTCTCTGTGGTTGTACCCCTGCTTTATTTACCACTGGCAATGACTGAGTTCACTTTGTATACTTGCGATGTGCTTAACCTGGCTGTGCTGAACTTGGTTTTTTGAGTTGGCTGTGATTTTTGGCATTGCGTTTTGTCTGCCTTTGCTCCCTGTGTTGTAGGAGAGTTGACACACTCTTTGAAGGGAGTTGGACACACCTGATTCTTCATGACTATCTCACCTCCCTGTGTTGTAGAAGTGATGATGCAGTCTTCGAAGGGAGATGGACACACTTGGTTGCAATGGATGTTCTACTGCTACCTATCAATCTTGGGTGACAGGTAGCCGTGCTTGTGTAGACTGTCTACTAGTTGGGTTCAGACATGTCCCTTTTGTTTGTGAAAGGGGGTCTTGATCTTTTGAACCTTGGCTGAGATTGGATATACAGGATGCTACTGATGTTATGCCTTGCTTGACTCAACTGGAATGTGGAACGCCTTGCAATATGGACTCAAAGCTTGTTGTTGGTCTGCTTGTAATCTTCTTTGTTGATGTTGTTTTTGGAGTTTCCTTTTGGTTTTTGTGGATGCTATATGTATGGCCTACTACATTTGTCTGTGTAGGGGCATTTTGAATTGTAACCTTCTGCTTTGTAGTTTAGGTTGTATTTATACGTACTAATGCAAGTAACCATCTTATGGTTAAGCATTTGACATTCTTGTATTCATTTGATTACGGGTAATAATAATTTACATGTTACCTTTGAAAGAGCTCTCAATAATGTGAATTTCTCTCTCTAGAACCGTGGTCTGCTGCTCTCTCTCTCGCGATGAACAGTAACTCGGATTCTTCCATGAGACTTTCCCCTTGATTTTGTGGTCCGATTTTGATGTTTATTGATTCCTTGGAGTCGTATAACAATGGAGAACACTATAATGAGATCAATTTCAAAGATTTGTGGAGGATTTTGGCTCAATTGAAGGTCAACTCAGTCGCTGTTACTGTTCACAGCGGAAATTGCAGGTGTGATTTCCCTCGGTTTGCAGCTGATTTGAACACCAAAATTGAGGTATTGTGAGCAACTTGGAGTGCTTAAACATATTCTAAAGCTTGTGGAGCAATCCCAACAAGAATTTGTGATTTTTGGCTTCAATTGGATTTTCGGGTACTGTTCACTGCGAGAAACCAGCTCCAGGTTCCTGCTGCCAATCTCCTCTGCTTTTGTTCTCACTTTGGGTGATTCCCAAGTGTTTTTTGAGCTTTGTTGGGTGATTCCCACGTATGTTTGAGCTGTTTTGGGTGATTCCCATGTTTCATTGAGCTGTTCTCCTGTTTTTGGTGGTGTTTGTCTTTGTTTATGCTGGTTTTTCCCCCTGGTCTGTCTCTTGTTGCTGCCTTCTTGCACCACTGCTGTTTTTTGTTGGTTTGAGCTATGGGTCATAGTAAGAAGAACAAGATGAAGAAGGGAACTAGGAAAAACAGCCATAACATTACAAACTTTGTCTTTGATGGAACGCCGGTTAGTGAGGCAAAGCAGCGGGGGGCTGCCGGTCAGAGCAGTGGTAAACCACACCAATGTAATGATGCTGGCCAGGCCTCCTCCTCTTCGGCTG